CTTTTTGGTTCAGATCTGGTTCAGTTTATGGTTCAGAATTGATCATTGAAAATATGATTTTCTAAATGGAGAATACGATTCCCAGTTGAAGGGAGAGAAAAATTTTTTAAATTCGCCCCTTATTCTGCAATCTTTTGGGCGTCCATAGGATGGATCTCTCATCCCCTTCACTACCCTCTAGGATGAATGCAATTGGTTGTAAATAGATATACAAGAGAAGAATGGCCCTAATGGAAAGGTTGAGACTACAAAACTCATCTTGTAGTGAAGGGGTACACTCAAAAAGAAGGAATCGATTATGAGGAAACCTTTTCGCCAGTGGCCATGTTTAAATCCATACGGATCCTGCTAATTATAGCAGCACACTATGACTATGAGATTTGGCAAATGGATGTCAAAACTGTTTTCCTGAATGGAGATCTTACTGAAGATATTTATATGCAGCAACCACAAGGTTTCATTATTATGGGTCAGGAACATATGGTGTGTAAACTTAATCGATTCATCTATGGACTTAATCAAGCTTCAAGAAGTTGGAACATCTGATTTGCCTCTACCATCAAACAATTTGACTTTAAGCAGAATCCAGATGACCCCTGCGTTTACAGGAAAGCAGTGGGAGATAAGGTTACGTTCTTGGTTCTATATGTAGATGACATTCTACTCATTAGAAATGATGTTGGAATAGCAATTCTCCATGAAAGATCTTGGAGAGGCATCCTAAATCTTGGAACTATAACTCTATAGAGATAGATTAAAGAGGATAATAGGATAATCCCAGTCTACTTACATTGACAGAATTGTCAAAAGATACAAAATTGAGAACTCCAAGAAGGGATCTGTCCCTTTCAGACATGGAAACACTCTCTCTAAAGGTATGTCTCCCAAGACTCCTAAGGAGATTGAGAGAATGAAGGAAATTCCCTATGCCGTTGTATGGAGCATCATGTATGCCATGTTGTGCACTTGGCCAGACATAGCTTAATCTGTGAGTATGGTAAGTATATACCAATCAAACCCAAGACAGGAGCACTGGACTATTGTAAAGAACATACTTAAATACCTTCGGAGGACAAGAATTTTGTTTATTATTCGATGGTAGTTCACTACAGATCCTAGGGTATATTGATGTCGACTTTCAATCAGATCCAGATGATAGAAAGTTTACGTCTGGTTATATCTCCACAATGGGGTCCTGTGTAGTTAGTTGTAAAAGCAGCAAACAAGAGTCCACAACAGATTCCACGACAGAAACCGAGTACATTGCCGTAAGTGAAGCTGCCAAGGAAGCAGTATGGATGAAGAAGTTCATTCAAGAATTAGGAGTAGTTCCATCTAACACATCACTCATTCCACTGTTGTGTGACAATACTAGAGCTATTGCTCAGCAAAGGAGCTAAAAGCCCACTCAAAATCATAGCACATCGAGAGGAAGAATCATGTACTGCAGGAGATTCTTGGTAGAGGGGACGTCCAGATTCAGAAAGTAGCATCAGCAAAAAATGTGGTAGACCCGGTGACAAAGCCATTAACACAGAAAGTGTTTGAAAAACACATGGATATTATGGGACTCCAACTTGTACCCGATTGGACCTAAGTGCATGTGAGAGCTGTTTGATAGTGTATGCCCTTAGCTCCAATCAAATTGATGTACACTAAACATTTATTGTAAATGAATAAAGTACATAATTGATTCATGTTATATATTGTGTTTTTTATGTAATTACCCTTAAATTGGACACTTATGAGACTCATGTTAGTTTAGAATGTTCTCAGCTGTTGGATAGACTTGGAGAAGTTTATCCTACTAAGGTTGACACTAATGTGCTGCCAAGTCGGTTGGGGTGGCTTGTCTCAGTTGCCAGGGTTAGTCCCAAAGCACATGTAGTGTGTATTTATTTAAAACACTGAACCCGAACCAATTTCAAGTTATGTCTTGGACCTTGGAGATTGATGGGAAAAATTGAAAAGTTACACCTGACCCCTAGACTCGATTATAGTGCTACATTGGTTGTTGGACTAAGCTGCCTTTGATGTGTCAATCAGTGAGATCCTTCGGGGGTCAAAACTTGGGAATGTTGGGATAGTCTGAGAATTCAGTCGAATGGTATGATCATAGTGACAGGATCAGCCCCTTTATCGGACAAAGTGAATGATTGGGACTGCACTCTTTCTAATGGAAACCAAAACTGTCGCTAGTCGATTTCAACCGTGTTTTAGATTTGTTTTGCAAAAATATATTTTTATGAAAATATATATATATATATATATTATGTTTTTAAGAAACATTTTGCAAAAGATTTTAATTTCCAGAATCCATCCGAGTAGAGAGTGCAACGCTGCACCTTGTAGTCAAGGAAGAGGTCCTCTCTTATCGGGTAGTGTTTGATCATTAAGGGCTGATAAGTTAAGTGTAAGACCGTTTAGGGCTTTTATACCTGATGGGCTATATCTCACTTAAGTCCATTGTCCTTGGACCTTCATAGGATGGCTGGACCCAATGAACATTTAGTGTAAATGTTGGACCCATTAAGAGACCATAGTGATGGACTCAGGGGTTTTCTCTGTCAACAGTGAATTCGGTCAGACTTTGTTATAGAAGTTAGGTTGAACCCGTATAGACTTTTGTGAGGTCATTGTTAGGATCCCATGCCACACAAAGAGAGCCAAGTTAGCTAGCAATAAATAAGGGATGTGAGGCTACTTGCTTAATGGGCCTAAAGCCCAAAGATTAATTGAATTAATCAACATGTCACATGACAGCCTAAGCAGTCATGTGACATGGGCAAATTTTTATTTGGATATGGGTTTGGATCAGAAGATAAGGATAAAAGGATAATTCTTATCCACTTAAAGAGTCCAGATCCAAATAAAGATATGGATCAGGAAGTTCCTAATTGAATTAGGAGAGCAGCTCTTTAAGCTATATAAATAAAGGAGGGCGAACTACTCCAGGTTTACACATTGCTCTCAGTTCTCTCTCTCCTTCTGCTCTTACTGCCCTAAACCTGATCTGACCTCCATTCTTGAGTTAGTAGAGATCAGTTTTGATTCTGATTTTTGCAGGAAAATATCATATCGAACTCGTGCTCACCTCCCTTGCTCGATTAAAGCTGTTGGATTGCAGTTCTTGCTAAAGGACTGCATTGCTGAACCTGCTTCATCTCAAGCTACGCCATCTTCAACGGAAGCGGGTTTTGGTACCTTCTTTGGGCGTGAACACCTAATTTGGGAACTACACATGTAGCTCTCGTATCAGGTATTCATCTCTCTTTCTTTTGGTTTCAGATTTGGTCCGGTTTAGTGCAAGAACAATTCTTGTAAAATGCAATTTTTCTAAAATTGAGAATATGATTCCCACAAGGGAGAAAAAATTTTTTGAAATTTCGCCCAACCGTCTAACACAGTTTGGCTATCCATCATATGGATAGCTGCTGGCCTTGCAATGAGGATGGGAAAGCCAACGAAAGGCCCAAGCTTGAAAAGGCCAAAACCAGCCCAACGGGACTAAGACCTTTACAGATTGCCCATTGCATTTTACACATTAATTTTAGGGTTGAATGTTGAGGGTTCAGATATGAAATTCAAGTTGAACGAAAAATATATAGCCTACAGATTTGAAGAAGTTATTTAGAAAAAAAAAAAGAAAAAGAAGAAGAAATCCCGGAGTACTGTCATATTTATCACTACGTTTATCTTAGCAGATAACAGGCACAAACATAAAAAAGAAAAGAAACAAAGAAAGAAAAATAAAAAAAAAAAACAGAAGAATCAAGTTTAATGAAACACAGGGAACATTGGTTTCGCCATTTTGGGTGAGAACGTAAGTAACACCAATTTTGCTTGGTTCAGTACTCTTGTTCTACTTCTTGGAACAATTCACCAGCCACCGTAGTAAACAAGGCAGAAACAAGGCAAACGCGAATAAGCCGAAATTTAACGTCCCATTAGGCGTAATATCAACAACTGCAGCTCCATAAGTGGCGGACATGGATAGGATGGCAATATACACCTCCATAAACATGGGGCAGCCCGTAACGAAGTAACCAATGATGTTACAAGCAGCTGAAAACCCCAACGTGTTAGCAAGAATGAATATATTGTATACAGCATGCTTGTCACCTAAAATGGATTTTCCAGCTTCATGTCCTTTGTTGTCCTGCCACACACCGCCGGGAGGGTTGATTCCGGCTTGAAAAGTCACCGTAGCGATCAGTGTGGCTACCACCAACATAGTGTTCCGTGCATCGCCTGGTAGGTCTCTACCCGGCTGGAACCTATAGAACTCAAACCATTTATCTGGCTGTTGGGGTGTGTTCTCCTGCTGGATGTCCATTGTCTAATTACTGAGACCAGAGAGAGATGGTTTGGAACTTTGGACTGAATGAAGGCTATTAGTTTCCACAAACTTAAATAGCATAAACTAACCAATGAAAACTCACCAATTTGGCCATCTCACATTTATTTTATAATTTTTCGTGTTGACTTCTTTTCAAGAAAGTCTGGTTCACGCACATGCAATCACATACCTATCAATTATCAAACCAATACAATACATAAATCATACAAGTACATATAAGATCGGTTTCTCTAGCTCATCTTTTTCATTTTTTTTTTCTTTTTTTTTATTTGGGTAAAGTAGATCTTTTGTCATGATAAAGATAGTATTATAGTAGTATTATAGTTTCATGGTAGACTGAGATTCAACCCATTGTCTTCGCTATTGAGACTTGTCGTCACTTAGACTTCATTTGCATTTCGGTAAGTTATTTATTCGGGTAAATGCACTTATCGAGGTAATTGCTTTTCAGGAAAGATTTACTTGGGTAAGTGTACATACCTATATTCTTTTATTTTTTGTGTAAATAAGGCAATCATCATTTTATCCATAGAAATCCATTATTACAAGGGGCATTTTTGTCTATTTTAAATGTTGGTAACTTTCCCACCCCACCTAAGAGATGGGTACCCAAGAAAATAAATTTTCCTTCGTTCCCACACAAATCTGATAAAAGAACATTTTTCCCCTCTCAAAATCCAGAAAAAGAACATCCCCTTGGAGGTAAGATGTTCAAGTTCATGCCATAATCCCCCACTATACAAAAATCCGTTGATTTAGTCTTCCCTTTTGAGACTTGTCAGCTCAGTATTTGGAAAGAGAACAAATACAAATATATACACTACAAATACATACAAAATACAAGGATTTGCACTCTACATATTTGTATTTATACTCCTTCCAAACTGAGCCTTAGAGGCAATATGGCCAAGTTCATGCAAAAACCCTCCACTATACAAAAAGCCGTTGATTTGGTATACCCTATTGAATCAGGGGGTGTTCACAGGTCGGGCGAATTTGCCTTTGATATAGGAGTGGCAATTTTTGACCCAACCCATATGACCCACCCAACTCATTCATACCCAACCACGCATATAAATAACAGTTCAAATATGGGCCGGGTATCCAATAATTAAATATTATTATAACAATTTTAGAGAATAATTAAGGTCAGTCTATATCTAGAAATTGTTTATCCTGACCTACGTGTTGATATGAATAATATGAAGAGATGTAATTAATTGTAGGACAACCCAAAAACATTGTAGGAGAATCCAAAATTGATAATAAAGATTGAGCTCAGATTTTCTACTCACTTTTTCTGTCCAGTCCCTATCCACCCGAAATTGCAACCACACATCTCTTAATTTATAATAGAGATGTTGACATAGACTTGTAAAATCTAGATAGCTAACTTCCATCAAGAAAACAGACACAAAAACCTACACTTGTACGGCAAAAAAGACAATGAGGTTGACCTAGACATATGAAGTTTAGGTCAAGCTAACTCTTTTCTTTCATGCAATGACTTGGTTAAACTATATATTTCGACTATAACAATTGAAAGTTTAACCAAGTGTGTCTTTATGAAAAATTATCCCAATGTTTTCATGAACCCCAATAACCACACTTGGTCTCACTTAACTTCTCATGATAAACTTGGTTAAATTATATATTTGGATTATAGCAATTGAAAGAAATTATCCAGTCATGGAAAAAGAGTAATTAAGAAGGACAAGAGAGCTTGGCTTAGACTTGCAAAGTCTTCACAACCTATAAATGTATATGAAAACAGACAGAGAGCTTGACCTACCTAGACTTTTCAACTCATCAACAATTAATGTAGGATATGGGTAAAGGTCCTACTAATTAATTACGATTTGGTAGTGAATTTTGTATTGTGAACGAGGGGCTGTGGGGGATTGGAGATGAAGTATATGGATGAAAAAATAAGTAAAGTTGTTGTTGTACACCAAAGGTGAATAAGGAATTGGAAAAAGGGAGGTTAGATCTTTTTGTTAGGTTAAACAATACAGAGACAAATCACTTAAAAAGAAAAAAATAAGAGAGAGGGGAGAAAAAAGAGGAAACTTCTAGTAACAACCATAACAATTACAATACTAGCTAATAGGTCAACTCCATTTTAAGTCCATTTTAAGTGTTTCTTTGTGGATTATCTGAATTACAATTACAACTACTCTGTCTCAATATCACTCTCAAATAAAAGTATAAAATTTTAACATGGTCATCATCTCACCAACAAGGGCAAGAACCAGTCACGGAGCCCCATCGTTTATTTCCAGGTCAAAGGCAAGATAAGGTAGAAGCATAAATGAAAGAATAGCTTCTTTTTTGGGTGAAACCAGAACGAAACCCCATAGTTTCCTCTTACTCTCAGATCTAAACCGCATTGAGCCCATTCCATCATTGGATTTAGGGGTGCCAATAGACTGGTTTTGGGTTGGACTCCGTCCAAATCAAAATCAATTTGGATGGACTGGATGGACCAATAAGACATTGAATTTGGATAGATTGGACAGACCAGTATGACATATTGGATTGGACCTGGTCCTTCCATAATGAATTTATATTGGAATGAGTCAATATCTGGTCCATTGATAGAAGATAAGAACATAGGTGTCAATGGACCAGGATTGAGTTGAAACCAATCTAAATTAACATGAATTTGAACAAATTGGACAATCTTTAGACCGATCCAAAATGGTTCAAAATATTCATTGGCCTGGATTGGACCAGGTCCATTTATAATGGACTCACATTGGACTAAATCAAATTGGACCAAATCCAATCCAATTGGTATCCCTAATCAGATTCACCCACAAATACAGTGTTTCTTTGTGGATTTGCTATGTGACCCATCTCTCTTTCATGGATGGGCGTTCTTGACCAAAAGTCAATCCAATGGGTGACTAGCATTTATTTCCAATCTGACTAAACATTCTGCAATTAATCATGTTGAATGGTCATGTGCCTAGGGGCGCAAGCAAGTCGAGCCTATTCACGAGCTATTCGAGTTTAATTCGCTAAATACTCGAATTCGGCTTGAAGTAATTGAAATCGAGTCAAGTTCGACTCAAATTAAGTATAGGTGGTCGAGTCGAATTTGAGCTCTGCATTATCCGATTCAAGTGGCTCATGAGATTAATCGAGATCATAATAAAATACAATTTTGTTAATATATTTGTTTTTATAATATAAATAATTAAACAATAATTTTTTTGCCATTTATTTATTCATAATATAAATAAATACATTTGTAATTGATTTTCATAATATATTTTTATTTTGACGTCATTTGTTTTGTTTTAAATGAGTTACCTGAGTAAATGCATTTGTCTGGGAAAGTGATTCTTGGAAAACACTTATTTGGATAAGAGTACTTACCAATGTTCTTTTTTCTTTTTCTTTTGTTTATGGGGCTATAAAAATGGGGGTAGACCTGGTGGCAACGGGATTTGATCCTAGGTCTCTACTTGACGAGTCAGTGATCCTACTAGTTGATCAACCACCATCAGTTGGTACCAGTGTTCTTTCATTCATCAAGTAAAGGTGTATAAATGACCAATTTATCTTAAAAAGTAAAATTATTAAAGGAACAATGTTGTCCCATCATATATTAGCAATTTTTGGTATGCACGGGTAAATAATTTATCCAAGCCTAAAAAGTATTACTTTCCATATAAATGAATCACTGGGAAATCGTTCTTTTTTATAAGACCCATTAATACTAGAAAACAAATGTAGGTTCATTTCTTTTTGTATGTGTGATTTATTAACTTACCTGCTCCCACTTCCTTAAGAACAACGAAGGCCTTATAGTCGAGTTTCAAGCTTTATGTTTTTTAGTCGAATTCGAGTTTGAACAGCTTAATAATCGACTCGACTTGACTCGGTTACACCCATAGTCATGCCTAGTGTACGTTGTTTTGTTATCTAGATAGGACTGTAAATGGACTTTGAAAATCTGATACCCAATCCGATTATTTTGGAATCAGATCCTGGAACCTACAGCAATTTAATAACCATATTTGGATTTGGATCCATCTAATCCAATTGAAATCTGATTTTGATTCAAATTTATTCTTTATATTTATATGAATTTATTATATGTATAAATTAAAAAAATACTTAAATTTGTAAAATTCTTTATTTTAATTTATTTTAAAGAAAAATAAAGTGGATTCGGATTTCGAATGAGATTTGGTTTTGAAGTTTCATGTGAAATGTGATCGGATTCGGTCCAAATCCAACCCAATATTGGTAGATTCAAACAGTTCATAGACTCGGTCCAACTTTCTCCACATCAGCCGTTTACTTGTATATTCGCACATAATCTTTTACTATTTTAATTTATCACATATTTTCTTCATTCCATTCTACAACCAACCATACTTACGAGGGTGGAGTTCACATTTGCGTGTCCCACAGCAGGCACCTCATGTGCATTGAAGACATCATCTTCCACACTTGTCATTGGGAGATGTTTCTATACATAATTGACATTTGCTACAAACCATAACTCTCCTAATACTGTCCAAATAAGCCATTGCAGCTGCACATTGAAAATATATTCTTTATCATTTTTGTGAAGATGTTCCCAATCTACGGTTAAAATGAATAATTGAGACATTATCGAGACTATGTGTTGGTGGCTGATCTGAACTCGGATTAGGATAGGTAGAGCGCTTATTAAAGTTTGATACAGTCCAGGCCCACTGTAGTGGAGAGTTTTCAACTTGCACCTTTAATGCTCAGTTTGGAATTGAAGGAGTATAGATACAAATATGTACAGTGCAAATACAAACAAAATACAAGGTTTTATACTCTAAATTTATATTTGTACTCCTTCCAAACTGAGCCAAATTTAGGTTTTAGGTTAGAATTTATAAGTTTAGAGTTTAAGGTTTAACATTTAGAATTTCATATAAAAATAAAGAGGTTGTTTGCTTGACCATGGTAGGAGCAAAACTGTTCTC